CAGTAGAGAAATTTTAAGGTTTGAGTTCAAATATTTTACTCCTTCTACAAACAAATTATCTATTGTTTAGTATGAAAAAATTCTAAAATTAGAACCATTTTATCCTAAAATATAATACAAAGGATTTTATTAGAACTTTTACATTCTTACATATTATATATTATTTTTTTATTTAGTGGATTAATGATAAAATATTAAAAATTGTCGTTTGTTGTAGCTGTGATAAAAATAAAACTATAATATTATTGTCAATTGGTATTGTGTACCATAGTCCATAACATTATCGTACAATAATATTGTACTTTGGTTGTGAATAATCGAATTAAAACCTTTTGATTGGTTAATAATTTGATTCCACTAACTGAGCATTTTAAATTGAATTATATGGTTATTAACTTTTAGCGATTTCAAACATTTTACTTTTATAAAAATTGAAAATAATGATCGTATAATTATGAACTTTAGCTTAAAAGATGCGCAATTTGCATTCTAAAAACATTTCTGTTAAAAAGTGACTTTTGAAAAAAATTCAATTTAGAACTTTTTCATTCTAGACTCACCGGATTACCTACAGCTTTTTGACCTAATATTTGACCATACCTACTGCTTATTCGCTTCTAATCTTATTGAATAACGATTTCTTTGTTATTTTTTTTCTATTTATATGAATAATTTCTAATGAGAAACACTTAATTTGTATTAATGGAATCGACAGAGAATTAAAATATCTATCAACAGATACCAAAACCTCGATTTTGACAAAAATTAAGTTACTGGTTAGTGGCTTAATATGACGGCAGTAATATATTATAATGGGTTCGACCATCGTTATTATTGTTCGACATTGTACAATAATATTTTATATTATACGTCGTAGGTACCTATCTCATGTGGCCACGTATATAATGCTATTCACTATATACTCTAGACTCCGGGTCGAGTAGACTGGTGAGTGCTGCGAGGTAAAAATATAATATATTATTATTATTTATATACGCGTATTATAACGAACGGGCGGACGAACGGAGAGACTTGGCGCCAGGCGCCAAACGATGTCGTCGTCGGCGGTGACGGCACTGGATCAAAGGGACCGGTGAGCCGTAACGGTTGGAAACGGTCCGTCCACTGCACCGGTACGGTGGTATGGCGCATCGTAAACGGTCCGAAAAGGCGACGCGGCCGATTTACTCTCCGAACAGGATATGTGACGACAAATGCGATGTGCTCACTGCAGTGCAACAATAATAATATTATATTATATTATTATGTGATATTATTATAATATAATGACGATGCTGCTCTCCCCATCCGACTTAACTCTCCCGAACCGACTTATCTCTCCCCGCCATCACTTCTACAGAACGGAGTCGTCGTGACTGTATACAATAATAACATTGTACCAACTCTGCGGAAGACCTCCCCAGATGCGGTGAATATGAATATTTAGTAAAAATATATTTTTAGTTTATAATACCTAATATTATAATGATTGTAACATATTATTATTAAAAAACCGAGATTACCTGGTAGCCAATACCAATGGTATAATGTACCGTAAAACCATGATTTTGTGGTTTTTTTTTGTAGGGAGTTGTGGTTAACGAATTGGAGATGTATAGGAAGGACTCGAAATAGTGTTTATTTTCTAATATTGCGCGTGACAATCGACTAAATCTATAAGAGTTGCTTTTTTTGAAGGAAACTGATTTTTAGACACGAATATTTCCGTCGATTATTGAAATAAAATAAGTGCAGTTAATCATATTATATAAAATAATACTTACTCCATAACTGCGGAAGTTGATAGCTGAAAGTATATACGAGTACACTCCTAACATTTATTTAAGTCACTCATTGTCAATATTTAAATGATGGTGGTTTTTTCCACGCATTACAATATTTTAGCCACTCAAACCCTAAGCCATGTTGTCACATTGATATAGATAGTATAATTATATAACGTAGCATTATTCGAAGAGCGTATAACTGCAGATAATATTATTTCGATTAATTATTTCCATCGCGTTTGATCGATATTATTATTAAATGTACTAAGTATATACATTTTATTCGATTAAACGCATATTTACGATATAATGATATATTATGTATGTAAACATAAATGTTTGGGGAAAAATTGTTTCTTTTTCTAAGTGAATGGCGTCAAAGCATAATTTTCTTTTTAGATGGAATTTTTTTTTTTTTTTAAATTACACGATTGCCATTTGATGCGACATTGATTCAAGAATTCATGTAATAATAATATGATGTATGGCGACTCTGATAATTAATATACTACATTTTTTTTTTATTCGTGCCGTTTGCGTAAATTGTTTTCATATAATATTTTATTTCTTGGTAAATAAAAAAATTGTTTTTTTTTTTATATTTCACTCTAAATAGTATTATGCAATAGGTATATGATTTTCAACTTGAAGTCTTGAACATTTAATTGAGTACCTAATTTAGCCTCTATGGATCTACATCTACGTCAGTAACTATTTTTTTTTCTTAAGATTTATGATTTATATCGCAAGCGATATTGATTGAATAGTTTATGAGTTAAAGATAGATTATAATACCATTATATACCTACCTATAAGAAAAAATAGAACTGAATGTTGATACCTACCTACTTGTATAAAAACATCAACACGCCGTAAAAAAATTGAAATGAACGTCTATAATATTTAATAGAAATGTATATTATGTACAAACATAATACAATTTCTTTACTTATTATAATTGGCTAATAAATATATAAGCAAGGGTTTTAGTTTTTTGTTTAGTTGTTTGGTATTTCATTGTAACCGAGCGCCAACCAGTTTATACCTCAACCACGACTTTTTTGAATATTATACATTCAGATGCGATTATAATGATAATTAAATAAATTATAAAAACCGGCAAAAATGAATTTCCTAAATACGAAGACGACAAATGGCCGTGTAGCGTAGTCTATATTGATAGACCAATATTAAATATTGATTAATAACATTTTCAAATCATCAAAGCCAACATATATTTAATTAACCCAATTTCCATTACCGCTTAGACATATTATTATCTTTAGTACGCAAAGTTGTATAACTCAAAAACTAATCGTTAAAATTTTGATTTAGATACATCAAACTTGTCAACAAAAAAAAAATCTTCTGAATAATTAAAAGTAAAAAAGGAGGGTTCTTATTTGAAAAACAGAAATGTCTTCAAGTGTATTTAGGAATTCCAAAAATCATAGTTTGAATAAATGCATAATTTAAACATATAAATAGGGTGATGTCGTGACTCGTATGGATGCTTAAAACACATCTTATGTACACACATACACACACACATACATATAATATATATGCGCACAAAATACAAAGATAATATAATTTAAGTTCACTATGTACATCATGTTGACAAGAGTAATAACGATTTAAAAGAAAAATGTGTACGTTGTATCAATATACATTATACACATATATATATATATATATATATATATATATATATATATATATATGGTCATAACGATATTAAGTATTTATGTGTATTGTCTATACTCTATATATTATAGGTAATAGTGAATTTAAAGTGTTCGTTTCTTCGTACAAGGTCAATACAAAATGTATACAGACATAGTGCAGTATGAGAATCTAATATTATTTGCTTTCAACATCATCAACCCCGCTTGACTTTGTCTACTTTTTCCATTTATATCACTTTAATAATATTAAATTTACCTATTCTAAACTCTAAAGTTCAAACAAAAATAGGACATCGGTTTGGTACCAAGCCTATAAAATTTTTAATCAATATTTATAGAAAATAAAATTTAAAAATTACAAATTTCTCATGACAACATTTAGCACAAAAAACAGCTATTATTTAAAAAATTAAATTTAATCCGTTTTTCAAAATTTTTTTTGGTTTTTTTAAATAATCCTGAAACTCACTGAGAATTTTTTACTTTTGACCCCCCAAAGTACTAACCAAATTAAATTCTCAATCAAAAACTTTCCTCAAAGTTGAATATTGATGCATTTTGTCTACTCCTAAAGTTGAAGTCTGACAAAAAATGAAAACACAGACAAAATATCTTTGTACAACAACGAACATTAACTTTAAGAATAGTTTACAACCTATTAAAAATGATAGCATATATGTATATTGGAGTGGTGAATAATAAAAAAACTTCAAAAGCAGAACTTTCATAAGCAATAATTGCTGAGTTAAAAAATAAAATTAATATATTTAAAGAGTATCTGTACAGTCTACACTCTTCCGACTGAAGTTTAAACAATGTAAAAACTGTGATTTAAACCAATAAGGGCCTGTTGTACCATCTCCGATTGAAGTTAACCGAAGTTCAATTGGCCGAATTTTACCAGTTATAAAATCTGTTATCAGCTGATTAAGCGTAATGGAAGTGTAACCGTAGACGGTTTACATTTTGGACCTAAGAATGTCAACTGAAGGATCATTCTTCTGATAAATCTCTATTCATTTAACCTTTTATCTATTAATATGTATAATGTATATAAAAAAAAATAAACAATGAAATAAAAAACAATTTAAAAAATCACTCTTCTCATCAATAATAATATATCATAAGATCGAATTCACTACTCGGTAAAAAAAAGTATACAGTGATTTATAATATATAATTCAATATTCATATTACCACAAATCTAAAATATAATTTTCGAAAATGTATTCAGTTATCAGTTATAAAACAGCAAGTGCTACTCGGAACATGTAAAAACCTTTAATTATCTATAACTTTTATTTCAATAAACTTTTGTTTCAGACATAATATATATTATTGTATTTCAGTTGACAGTAAAATATTTTTACAGGTTTAGACATCTTCATTTAGTAAACTTACATTTTGTAGATTTTTCAATGGTCAATTATATTATTTTAGAAGATCACTGGGCCATAAACCAATTTAATATTTTTCTCGTTACAAATTTATTTTATCATAACTAAAAAGGGAGTGATCGCAGTCCTCACAACCAACCAGTCAAAATTTCTCCTGTGACTTTTGATTTACCGCCTGGTTTCTTTGGACTCGCTGACCGTTTCGGAGATTCTGGTTTCAAGAGTTTGCCACCTTTATCTTTTTCTTCTGATTTATCAGTGTCTTTTGATTTATCTGCGTCTTTCGATTTATCCGAGTCTTTTGATTTATCCGAGTCTTTTGATTTATCCGAGTCTTTTGATTTATCCGAGTCTTTTGATTTATCCGTGTCTTTTGATGAATCCATATCCGTTGCTTTATCTGCATCCTTTGCTTTATCGGCGTCTTTTGAACTACCGGTGTCTTTTTTCTTAGATCCTTCGTGCTCCTTTTCTGCCTCTTTTGGCCTTTTTCCTCCCGAACCAGAAGTAGACGGTTGAGATTGGCCGTCAGCGTCCTTTGCCGTTTCTCGAGATGTACCCGGTTCCGGTTTCGTATGTACCACTGCTTTTTTTAGCACTCCCGGGGGAACCTTGGTGGTGTCACCCACGACGGACGACGATGCACTGTCTTTAAGTTCTGTGGTCTTTGTTCGTTGGATCGTTTTGGTTTGCTGTTGACTCGCATCGGCCGGCTTGATCGACCCAGTATCGGGGGGCTGTTTGTCAGTGCTGGTCGATGGGTAGGGCAATGCACCGGCCACAGGCGAATGCCTAGCACTCTTCGGTCTCGGCCGGGCGATCGAACTTTTTTTCGTTTCGTCCACAATGTCCACGGTGGGCACGTTATCAAACACCTCGTCCTGTCCCATCGTGTTCTCCTCGTACTCCTGCTTGATCTTCGGTATCTTGAATTTGGCATACGCCACACGTGCTGCCGGCGCTATTTCGGCCAGCAGCGGATTGTACTCGACCAGCCGCTCGGCGTCCATCGACATAAGGCTGTCCTTCTGGTGGTCCAGGATATACCGGCGTACGCTCTGCCGGTGTCGCCGTTCCGTTCCCTCGGCCGTGCTACCGATCGGGTCCCTGGCCAGACTCTTCTGCCTCACCACCGCGTTCCAGTCCTTTTTCTTGCTGCCCTGGCTGGTCCGCCGGCCGATGGCCTTTGCGATCTTGCTGAACACGTCCTTTGGTCCCTTCTCATTAGACGCCATAGCATCCTGTATCAATCCCTCAACCAAACCGATCTGGAAGTCTTTGAGCAATCGACGTTCCATCACCCGGCCTTTCTTTCCTTGGGCTGTACAACAAACAAATCACACTCGCATTAAATTTAAGAACACAATTAATAAATAGGTAAAGTCAATATTATAATAATACATTAATATACCTATACTAAAAACGTTCAAGATTAGACCTAGTCCGTATACACATTTTACAGGGTTAGGCCAAAAAATGTGTACTGGCCTTTTTTCGAACATAGCCTGGCTTTCAGAAAAAAAGTTAGGACAAACAAAATTTATATAACGCGTGAAAGTTTCACGTTAATACATATAATAAAAAAAGATATTGTATGTTAAAATTAAAATAGTAACTAATAAAAATCAATATAATATACCAGTTAACCTAATTATTCAAGTATATATATTATGTTGTAAAGGCATTTGTTATTTTTCTATTGGTTTAAGATGAAAGTATATTTAATATTAGCTACGTATAAATTTGATACGTACTACGAATGATAGTATAGGCGTATAGCCTTACCCTAAATTTTATTTTTTTTCAAAATTGGTCTAGGTACATTGAATATACCTAATTTATACTACCTACTGTTTATATTTTAATATTAATGTTTGTCATAGTATAATTTTTATTTTCCTAATTTAAATGATAAATAATATATAAGTTTTAAATAGATACCTATTTTAAATTAGGATTTTACTAGTCATAAAAGTTTCTGCTGTATTTTGGGAATATACGTCAAATAATGGGTTTGAAAATAACTGTTAGTGCCATTTTTAGAATTTTTTTGAGTTACAATTCAGAACTTATCTTATAGCTTTAAATTATAATATTTTATAAAATGTTTAACCATGACTCATACAAAATTAATACCTTCCGATATTATTTAACATTAAATTGCTCCCGCGTATGGCGTATTATTAATAATTCCACAAATTTATAAACATATAGCAATGAAATAAATACATATAATTGATTATAGTACTATTTTTTTTTATATAGCTGAATAACAACTAAGCTTCACCCTGTTTTTTTGTGTTATTACTTTTTTCTCAGTTTTTATATTACATGTAAAGATTTCTTTTAGATTTATTCATTAACATAGATAATATTATAATTATAATTATTGTTATTGAGTGGCCTAGCGTGGAGTGGTGTGGCCTCGGTCACTAACGTGTTCTGAGATTAAGCATCGGCCGGTGTCGATAGATCCCAGATGGGTGACCACTCGGGTTTTTAATGACAAAACCATGACAAAACCTCTCCACATATACACGTGTTCTAAACCGTACCCTCCCCACTGCAGTAAACCCGACTAAAAATGACCTTCAGGCTAATGATCTTAGTTGTCAAAATAATTGTACCGAAAAAATTACCAATATAGATTTTTGTAATAGTTCACTTCACCCTAACCTGTATGTTAACCCTTCCTGGCCCAGAATTACATATTTCTAAGTTAGAATAAACGATTTATTCTTACCGACATTAGAATCGTGTTCTTTTTTGGGTGTTTTATACCCGTTTTGTTTGAATATATCTATCATCTCGAACTTCATGGACGATATGTCTTGTCGTATTTCCATCACGTCGTCTTCAGTTATGCCAAATTCTTCACTCTTGCGTTGTTCCGCGGTTACATAGCGTCTCACCAAAAGCCGCATAACAATATCATGCCGGGCTGACGCTTTTTCCCTGGACTTAAACTGCAACAGATTACAATCAAATCATTATATTAATAATGCAACAACATTTTGTTTGAATATCATTACAATCATTGACCCAGATGTTCGCTTTGTCTTCTCGAGGCCGATCATGCGTTTGACATTTTTAAGTGAAGGAAATAGATTGAAAGGAGCCGGTACGGTATCTCCGTCCTCAAAATACGAAATCCACAACGAACTACGAGCAAACTTCCATTCCATGTCAGACCGTTCCTTCAAGATAAAAAAAATTATATTATTTATGTGAGTGCTAGTCAATTTAACTCTGAGACTTACCGAAATTATCTGATACGAATTGGACATCATAGCGATAAGCATGTTTAGCAAAACGATTATGTTGATTACCGAGTACGATCCGAACAGCAGTAGACCCCAAAATCTAGTGAAGCTCTTAATTCCGGTTAGATCAAACGCTGTCAAATCGACAAGTCCAAAACCAGCCCAAAATAGAGACTGAGATGTTTCGAATATACTGTGAAAAGCGACAGAGTTTCAACATTGTGTGACGTTATAAAGATATTTTCATCATAGTACAAAAATACGTTTTCGCAGAAAGAAATACCTATATACAATTTGTATAGGGACATACGTTCGCTGTTTACATTTTATTTACGCATTTATAATAGATACAAAAAAAAAAAAGGACAGTAGAAAGGAACCTAATTTAATGTCCCCGTTAGACGGAATGTTAAATTGTATGTTGGGATATCATTATAACATTTATAATCGTTAATCGATTCAAGTAGGTATTCAATTGTATCTATTTAAGGGGATTGAAGGCGGTAATTTAATAAAGGGTCGCGTATAGGCAATTCGATGTCCTATACTCTGCAGTGTGGTTGTGTGCGAAGTAAATGATCATTAGTGTGCGTAGATACTTTCGGAATAAGTCGTGTGCCACTCTCACACGTACACGCACATGTCAATAAATCAAGAAAAACGAAATATATTCTTCTATACGTATCACCTATAAAAACTACCAAAAGCGGTAGTAAATTAAACATACTTCCTGAAGTTTGATTGTAAATTCGAAAAAAGGGTTGAATTCGTAAGCTCTTAGTCTATGTTTGGTAGAAACCACTTTTTTGATATAACCAAAAAAGCCCAAAATAAATACAAATGTAATGCAATTATTTCATGAGATTTTTTAAAAAAATATACAAATTTTATGGTCCTTTAAAATTGAAAATTGAAAATCGACTTCCTAGAAAGCCTACCTAGTTATTTTTCCAAAGAATTCATACACATATTAAAAATTAAAATCGGACATTCGGAAGTATGGGTAATTTACCACCGCTTATTGGTCTAAAACGTACAAAAAATACGTGACATGCGATCCCCTTAAATTTATATATTTTTAAGTAGGTATTCAAGTGTGACTACTTAAATGTTTATATTTTTACACATATATAGAGCCATAGAGATATATCATCTATCTAGGTTTTTATAATATATGTATATAGGTACCTACATAACATACTATGTAATGTCATAATATCATAATATCATATTATATGGTATAGAAAACTTCTATCAAAAAACTTGAAATGTAATACATCATCATAAATTATTATTACTGAAATAAAAAAAAATAGACTTTATTCTATAAATATTAATTATGAAGGTAAAATAACAATTTATCACCAAACCATTTTGGTTTTTTGTCGTTATTCGAAAAGTATTGATCTTAGAAACTTGAAATTCCTTTGTTACTTAAATCATCATTTCCTATAGGTACTTAATGAAAATTTTTAAAATAATCAGATTCAATTTAAGCTATTTATAAGCGTTTTATATTTTTATCAAAAATTAATTCAACCTACTGTATTACTAATAGTAAAATAAATTACTTTAAAAGCAAAAAATATTATAGCTCCTTATAGTAAACTAGGCTGACATATCGTCTCCAGCGCTCAGAATCGTATTCGTAGGAACCTATGCAATGATTTATCATTGAATTGAAATGAATCACATCCATTTACAGAGACCTACTCAATAACGAGGTACACTCGATTCTTGCGACCTACTGTACAGCAGAGTGTTAAACTACTTTCCCATTTTTAGATTCTGAGCGGAGCGAGGAAGCTAGTGGTTTTACAATGGTGTTTATTTTTTTTTTTTATCCTGTATACAAAATTTCTACCAGGAGGTCTGAAGGAGTGAGTCGATCTCAACAAATAGTATCTTATCTTTTAGCAAATTGGATCAAGATAGTACTTCAAAGAGGTATTTTTTCGATATCCTCAATATAGTTAGTTGGGAAAAACTACCGACAAATTACGAAAATCCGATAAAAACGAGATTTTAATTTCTAACGCTTCGTATATCACCATAGAAACGAATAAAAAAATTTTAAAAAATAAAAAATAAAATAAATAAATAAATAATAAAAAAGGAATTTAGCTATTTTGATGTTATTTATAATATTAATTCAATTTACAGGCTATAATAAATAATAACAATATAAAATATCCATACTGACATACCGTCTCCACTCAGAATCGTTTTTCGTATACAAATAGGTATACAATGATATTATATCATTGAATTCAAATTTAATACAATCCATTATACTCAGTGACCCACTTGTAACCTACTATACAGCAGAGTAATATCCACTTACCCGCTTTTTTGATTTTATAAATGTATGATTTTGTACTTTTACCATCAATTAAAAATGATCTAGTTCGACAATTTCAAAACTTCACTACCATAGTTTATGGATACGATGAATATTTTATACTCGAAGTACCTTAATTGTCTATTTTTTATATGTATTTTGAAAGACTCAAATATATTGTTAACTGCACTCGTCCGTCGTTCATAATTTAACCGATTTTCCAGTAAATCATAGGATATAGGTATAAAAAGATATATCGTGATTCGTAATACCAATGTATAGATTGTATGACGTACCTATGAATGTCTATATATTTCTGATATAATAGTTATCAGATAACTGATTATAGAAACCAGAGGTTTTCAACCTTTTTCGAAACGTGACCTCCAAAATTTTATTTTTTTGTACTGCGGCCCTTTCAAATAATTTATAATGGAACATAAATATTTTTTTTAATATGTACACTTAAATAAATAAAATAAAACATATCCAATCATATAAAAATCGACCGAACACAATCGCTTAAAGTTAAGAAAATCATGTAGGTACCTATACCTACAATTTAATAATCCATCGTTAGATAAGATTAGGTACGCTATTCGGACAAATAAAAAATATTTTATTTTTAAATAATTAACTTAAATATGAAAAACCATTTTGTTCATCATTTTTAGTGACCTCTAAACCATCATTCGCGACCCTCAGGTTGAAAACCACTGTATTAAACAGCTACTATATATTTTAGTATACCGTCCTATAAAATCAATAAAATCGTCTATCCGATTATACATAATATACTATATTATACACAGTTCCTACACACTGCCCACAGACTACATAATTTTACTCATTTTAGTAGTAAGAAAGTTTCCAGACAACGTAAGAAATATTACAGATTTAAATTGGTTGATATCATTACTCATTAGGGGATATAGTAATACTAGTATATATACTATGGTATATGGGATATGGTATATATACCTTAATGATACCTATAAACCAATTTAAATCTAATATAATATACATTAATTTATGCGCGCGTGCCAAACAAATAGTGTATACAAACTTGGCAAATCGCCTCCACGTCGAACAGGCCTTTTCTTCTTTTTCGAAATCAGCAATGTCACTGTTGTCGTGGTAACATTTTTTCGACTCCAAGTCCGCGTAATACCAAAGCAACTGATTTAAACCTATACACGAAAAAATTTAAAAAAAAAAACAGAGTACTCTACACGGTAAACCGATAAAACTATAATATTATTACAGTCTATATAGAATGGTAATTCAAATGTTGATATAGAATATGTCGTCAATCAATAAATCACAATAATTAAGTAAATACACTAAGAATAACATTATAATATATTACCGCATCCGAAAGCGCAAAGCACCAGCGTGTAGATGAAAAAGAATTTTATGATGTCGATGATCATACGACCCAAAGATATCTGAAGTGGTCCCAGGTGAGGGTTTACACTGAATATATGCACGAGCTTTAAGAAACTATAAAACGTCAACGAAATATTAGTGTAATCTCAGAAGCCATATGGATTACGGCTAACCCATCTTTGGGAAGTACCTACCTACACAATATAATATTGGCTTATTCATATTATTACTATTGTACATATTAATATATAGGCTAGGTAGATTTTATGAGGGCTCACGCATCACGAGAACGCTTTTCGATCTCATTGCCCATTGGTAGCAATATCTACTAACTTTCGCTGTATTTTTAAACTTTAATCTCTAAACTTTGAATTCCTGCCCATTTATTGAATTTATTGGAAAAACCATCTCATTGATTGCTATCCGAGAAAGGTGATTTAAATTTTTTAATTTTTTTGTCTGTTAAAATTACCCAATAAATTATTATTTTAAATCTAACCATATAGAAATATTTACCTAATTAATTTCATATTTGTTATAATTCCATAGTTCATTCAAACCTATATATCGATCATCGATGTACGCACAAGTTGTTTTATCATGTCCGCTGTCCTTATCCGTAAACTACCTATATATTTTATTACCGTCAATGATGTTCTTAAACTTTTAGTGGCCCACTTCATGTATAACCATGGTTAGGTTAGGTCCTTGCACCCAAATTAACCGTAACCACTATAACACACCCCTAAAAACCCTTAAAAAATATACTTAGGTATATACAGGGGTTAAAATGGGGGGGGGGGGCGCAGGAGGACTCAGTCCCCCTACCTCTGACGGCGGTTAAAAACCGTTTCCTTTAACAAATTAGGATATTATACATTAGACATTATACATAAAATTATATATGGAACGCTTAAAACTATATGGAGACATTGGTCCCCTCTGGAATTTTTTCCCACTTTAAGCCCTGCTTATAAATTATATTATAACTTATAAGTTTTCAATATACACGATACGTAATAAAACGTAATTAGCTAAATTAAATATTATTTTTGTGTATATTATACGTATCCAAATTTTAGTATTAAAAAATTTGAAAATAAACTAATAAATATTTTAAATTTTTACCTGAATATCATGGCAGCTGCGAACGCTCCCTCGGACACCAGGTGGGGGTCGAATTTATCCCAGTCTTCTCTCGGCAACCAAGGATCATACCCTTCACTGTATTCTCTCTAAACGACCAAACAACAAGTATAATAGTTATAAACTATAAAGTATATACAATTTACTGTTGAGAAACCCAAGTAAAGATGTAGTGTATAGCAGTATAGATGCATGATATTAATTTGGTCGAAATGGGAAGAGTACGATTTTGATCGAATATGGTCTCACCCGGACATATTATGCTTGTAAATGTGTGATACCATAACACTTAGCATTGTATAAAACCCGAAGCGTCGTCCATCGGGGAGGATTAGGTATATTAATATTGAAATAAATACATTATTTTAGTCATAAAAGCGTCGAGGAAAACCAAAAAAAATTATGGAAAAACGGGAACTTTAGATAGGTACACAAAACCTGCAGTTTTTAATACAATCGATTTTGATTTTTTTTTTTGTGTAACTTAAAAACGAATAACCGTAGATACTATTCATTACAGATCACAGAATAGGTATACAGTAAAAGACTGTTAGCAGTTTATATTTTACTTCTAATATTTGGATTGTATATGTACCTACTGGGTAATGGCAGATTTAGGGGGAGGGGTGCTTTGGGAGCTGAAGCTATAACCACACCGTTTAGCATATTGAACTTTTATTTTTATCATAAATTACTTAGGTATCTGCAGTTATCACTTATAGCTAAACATATTAATACTGTAGACTGTACTACCACAGATAATAGGTATTAAATATTTTTTGACCAAAATTGTGCATCATAAGTACCTCCATAAGGAGTGATACTATCAAAATAGCACCCACCATAAAATAATCCTCTAGGTTCACATTCACCACTGGACTACTAGGCAATTTTACTAGGTACCTAATTCTAATTCATTACCTATCATGTAACAAAGGAGTTACAAAAACTAATAAGTAGGTATCTCCAAAATATGAAATTAAGTAGGCAGGTACCTATAATTATTATAATACAGTATTATATATTTATATTGCATTGTATATTTATATATAATGACGTAATTAAGTCAAAAATCGATCATCCGTAAACCTATAATAATAGGTATAATGTGTAGCTGAGTAGTAGGTGCCTACCTACCTATACCGCGTGTATATTAGCAGTTAGCAGTAGATATTGTCTCACGCAGTATATTTTTTATTTTATCTAGGTGTACTTTATTATGTGAAACGAGATGGACCTGCAAAAAGTCACTCGGACGAGTTTTTGAACACAAACAGATTGGACACAATTTACACAAACCAATAGACAATGGCGGCAGCAGCAAAGGGAAATTGAGACTACATCAGAGCAGTGGATGACGAGTAGTCGGAAAACGGGCCAAAACGGATGTATACAAATATGATAGAAATCGCAGTTTCACCTGGGCCGAAATGCCCTGAAGATAAAGTAAGGCATCACAAACAAAAATTTTCGATACAGCCGTTCTAGAGCTTTTTTTGGACAAGGAAATATCCATATTTTTACCAGTGCTTCTGCAATTGTTTATTGGTTCAGATTCTGTACAGTCAGATTGAAATCTGAAAAATTGAAATTTAACGAATTCACGAAACCCTTTTAAGGGGCCTCGTTCTGCCGTCAATAAATATTAGCTCAAAGGACCTTAAGTTTTGACAAAATTAAAGTTAGACAACGTTGTCCGATTTTGATTCTAGAAAATTGTCTATAGAGCGTAGGGAACACTTTGTAAAAATTAAAGCATATATTATTCAATTCTGTAATAGAAAAATTAAAAATGATCTTTGCTAAATCATAATAAAAAAATAAAAACGGAAAGTTTCCTTACAATCTACAGACATTGTTCTGCTGAATTTAAATATTTTTTCAGAATTGAAATCAGACAACGTTAACAACCTTAGTTTTGTCAAAAGTTGACTCAAAACAATAAGTAAGTTTTCGTAATATTCGTATAGTGAATGCACGTACGAGAATGGTATCCACATAGAATTTCACTTGCACACTTGCACCAATAATCATTTACAAATTACAGCTACCTTACTAATACATAGATTCCAATAAGCTACAGGATTATAAATTGCCTAAATGTTGCCCCTTAAATAATAGCCGTAGCATATAGACCTATACCTATGTGCGCCACCCTACTAAGTTAACTAAGTACATATTAAGTGGATTGACGTTAACGTACAAAAAATTATTACTTGTATTTTTGATAGAAATGCCTACCTACATTTTGATGGTTAGTAAATATTAACCTGTCCATATTCATAATTTATAAAAATGGTCCAATTATAATGAATAGGTAAATCCGATATTACATATATTTTGTACTATTCTAAAATAATTTTTAAAGACTATTATTATTTATTTGCTTAGTTATTAAAATGTTTCTTCTAATGTTAATAGTCTTTAAAAATGATTTTAGATTAGTATAAAATATATGTAAGAAACATTTTAATAACTTAAAAACTATACCTACTTGTATGAATTATGAATTAGGTAGGTACCTACATAAAAAAAAACTCTTAAAAACACTGTTCACGTAATAATTTACAGTATATAAAGGAATTCTCATTTGAAAAATGAAATTTTGTATCCCCTAAGTAGTACAAAATAATTCAATAATTTCAAAAAATAGACATAGGTAATTAAAAATTCATCATAATTTGAATAAATCATTACTTATTTTAAAGGAAATATGGGATGAGTATAATTGGGATTTAGTAAATTCTAACACGAAACATAGCAGGTAAGCGGGTATGTAAGTTCCCTCACAGAAAAAAATACACCCGTATGTAAGTTCCCACACGTAAATTTATTCAGACTTAGGACTGACAACTTAAACGTAGTTGGTCCAGATATATAATACCTAAGGGCTAAAAGTTAATAATATAATGTGTAGGTATGGTCCACATATTATTTGTACTTTCGCGAGCATTTGTACTTTGTAGTAAGACTTGTATCAAAAGTAGCACTAGCCCAAATACTAGGGGGGAAACTATATAAATAACAAAATACCAGATTACAACTTAAAAATAATTACACAGTATGACTATCTGAAGGGTTTGAGCTTTGGCAATAAGCCAAATAAAATTTAATTTTTTCTATTAGGTACTATTATTATAATTATTATTATTTTATACCTACTTATACAAATAATATGTGGACCATACCTACACACATTATACTATTAATTTTTATTATATATTTGGACTAGATTCAATTAAAAAATTGATTGTACTTTTTTTATGCTACACAAAAACAAACAAATTTTAACCAAACCAACTACATTTAAGTTGTCAGTCCTAAGTCTAAATAAAGTGGGAAGGAAGTTTGTATTCGGTGTAATTTTTTTCGTGTGGGAACTTAAGTATGCATACCCGGGTGTAATTTGTACCTGCTATATCTCGTGTGGGAACTTACATTCGCCCGTATACTTGGTGAATCATAGGTAGGTAAGTATTATAAATAATAATAGATATATAGACCTTGTACTAATAGTAGGTATAATATTTATTACTTTTAGACTTTAGTGTACAAGGGTCTAAAACTCTAAACCCTTATCCATATAAATAAAATATTAAATAGTGATTGATATGTAATTATTAATATTATTTACTACATAATATTAAACATTCTGTATTTTTTTATTTATGAACTAGGTATATTTTATGTTCAATTTTAATCTTTGGTTTTATTATACTAGTTTAATAGGTACTATACCTGCCACAGATTAAATACCTAAACACATATCTATGACTATATTATAATACCTAAATAATAAGATTTAAGATTTTAATTAAAGAACCCCTAGGAACAAGGAGAGGAACTATTGTAGCATATTTCAGGTACATAAATATATCACATGATTTAATTATTTATACTGTATGTATTATGTATTATTAAGTAGACACTCGTTGCCTCACTTGCCATTTCTAATCCAGCAGACCTAATACATATCTTGTATAGGCTGTGAAGTAAGATTTATTCTTATTTTTTTGATTAACATTTAACTATAAAAACCAAGTTTATATCAAGCAATACAATATAGGTACCTTGTAGGTTATTATTACAATAAAATATTACCTACCTACCTACTATTATTTATGATTTTCACTACTAAAATTAAAGTCTGGCAGGTCAATAGGTCAGTGGATTACTTATTATAGGCTCAAAAGTCTCTTAACACCCCTAAAAATTGTTTCCCCTGAAACAGGTGAGCACTTTTAAATATTACAACACAAGGTATAGGTCTTCTATATGTAGGTATTAAATAAACTATATACTATAATCTTAAACGTACAATAATCAATAAAATAATAAATGTTTAACTGGTTACAAGAAATGGTTTCAAGACACAAGACAATCATTGACAAAATCTGCGTGTCTGCAAATAATACACAAGAAGGATTACAATTTTTAAGTAGACAAAAATATATATACAAAGGTACATGCACAAATAGAAAATTTTATAAGGTTTTTTTCTTTTATACAAAACTAGTCTTATACATAACAATATTTACACATAATAGTATATAAGTGATCTATTTCATGCCAGTGACAAAATACTTCTCTAGGTATAATATATACCTATCGTAAAAATAAAAATCCAGTGATATAATTTTTTTCAAATAACACCCTGATCCAAAACACAAAGTTAATAGTCAACTTTGTCCACAACAAAATGTGTTTATGCTGCAGTTCAACATTAGGAACGTATTTCCACACATAAATTTAGCCATTAAAAATGCCAAGTGGTCCGGTCTAGTTCATATATGTCCTGTAACAACTCTATTGTCTTTACACCGACTTTATTGGCAATTTCATTACGCTGTCTAGCATTCATACACGTCACATACATCCATACAAGCTCACCATCAATTACTCTCCTAGCTTGATTCATTCTCTCAGGAGCAGTTGCTTTAAAACTGCGATAAGCTTTTGGGTTTAATCCAGCTAGATGTGTTATATTCTTCACTAACATGTTTTGTAATGTTAACAGCCTTCTGTAATTTTTCTCATGTATCGGTACAATATATCCGATTGAACCATCCAAGGTGGTGTACATGGTCACATGTCGTTTATCAGAGCCAATAGCCTCTCGCCGATCAGATGCCACTGTCGATTGTTTACAGCGAAGTCTGAAGAATGAATTTACATTAGACCCTATATTAAAATCGCCACGGCGAACTAAATGTTGGCCACCATAGCTTTCACGAGCCATTGGCTGGTAAAGGTAGAGAAGCAAATTTTGATCTCTATCCGAAGCCATGAAACCAAGTTCAGAATTGTCAATAAGAAAATTAATATCAAATACCTCCAATGGTTTGGAATCACGACATACTAAAGACAATGTACGGTATTCTTCCTGAAATCGCAAGAGTGTAATGGACTTGAACAAATCAGCAACTAATATTAAACTTTTAATGCTTAACATCTGATGGACATAGACTTCAGTGTCTATAAATGCTATACCAATTAAATCATTGTCTTTGAGCTGCCAAATATAAATTTTTTGGCCCACAGCAGTCACCAGAAATCCAACTACATGAGTAATAGCTGTTACAGGACCTTTTTGTTCTTTAGCATATATCATTTTTATTTTATTTTTGGTTAACGGTTTACCAGGCTCTGGGACGACATCGATAATATCAAATAAAAATATACGCCCTCTACTAGTGATGTCTTCTGAATAACTGTAATTTGTACCCATTGCTATATAACCTTTGAGACCACTACGAGCTCCCTCATATGCTAAGGCAACATTTTTCAAACAAGTAATATGCTCCCAATCTTCAGTCTCAATGCTTGTATCTGGTATCGGTTCCCAAGAGGCAGGGGAAAACAGCTCCAACGTAAACACTTCATGACTGGGTAGGGGAAACAGAGGATCACGTTCTTCAGTAGTCAGTTCTTTGTCTTCGCCATTGAATCGATAATATGCTGCAGAAAGTTCAGATGAAGAAGTAACCACACAATAAGTTTTTGTTTCCAAGTGGTAAGCTATAAAATGTGGTGTTTTACGAAGTGGAACCTAAACAAAAATAATTATCAGTAACAATCACAATGAATTTCAATACATAATTAAATTATCTTGCACCTTACAGAGTTAACTTTATTTTTTCAAATTCTTAATCAGCTTATAGATTATATGTGAATGTATAAATGGTAAAAGATTTTTTTTTCATTACAAAAATAACAAAATTATTTAAATTTATTTTAAATTCTACCTTTTTACAGATTTTTTAACCAAATTGCGATCAAACTATAAGAAGTTATTTTTAAGTAGATTAATAAAGTATATAAATTGATGGTTCAAAAATGTTGTTAATGGGCTCCATAGTTAATGAATGTTTTTTTGCTGTCTTTCATACTGAAGTATTAAGACTAAATATTAATCATCATAAAATCACAACTAAGTGACTTATTTAATATACAGATTATTATAATTTTAAATTTCAAAAAATATACATTTATATATTATAAATCATAATTTAGTGTATATTTGTAATCATGATTAATTTAATAAAACGAAAATGTAATTTAAATAAAATATTTTAATATACGACAGAAAAATATTATGTAAGTACTGCTTTAAAAAACTGTACACATTTTTCTTATTTTTTGGAAGTTATTAAAGTATTCATATAATATCATTAAATTATTTTGACAAAAATTACATGTCTGTACCCGGTGGTAATTATTTACATTGTATGTATTATGACTTAAGATCGATTACATTTTAATTTTAATATGTTTACCGTATCATGAAGTAATTGTTAAGCGTGCAACTAAAAAGCAATAAATATCTGCCACATTTTCTCTTGCAAAAACTTAGGGATTTCAAACAAATGTAATTATTAATGTTTAATAAATTTAAAGTGGTCAATGTAAGATATTAATACATATTTAATTTATAACAAGTTAATAATGATGTTGTTTTGTAATATTAAGAATCGAACATGAAAAACAATTCTTTTTACCATTTATATATTTATAGGTATGATAGATTCACATAAAATCTTCTTTTTTTTTAAATTAAAAGACAAATATACCTTTCTTAATGGCCAAGGTTCATCATATGATAAATGTGTAGGCAAAATAGAAATTCTTAACTTGTGATCAGAATTGAAGTACAGAAAACCTTGTGAACAATTAACATTATGAAAAGGAGCGAAACACATAATTGGCCCATCTATATGTAAAGGATGACACCGTAGTTCGCCTCTTACAGTGAGTAAAATTAAATGAGGATTTTGTCCACAGATAAAAACACCGTTATGACCAGCTACTTTACTGAAATAACGTAGCAATGAAGTTCCTTCCAGGGGGTTACCAGATCTTGACTGAAATGTTAGCAATGAAGTCATTTTATGAAAACGCATCTTTAATGTACCTTCCGGGTGTCGATGTATACCATAAATAACCACCTATAAAAATTTAAAATTAATTTATAATAAAAATAAATAATATATTTAAATATTGCATTACCTCATTATCTAATCTAACAAACATAATAGGTCGTTTGTCTTGATATCCTAATGGTACTATCAAAATTTCTTTTATTATTTCAGTTTTTTTAGGGAAATAACAACCTTCTTCTAAACTGTCTTTAAGAATCATAGGTGATTCATCTATGTTGGCTGCTCTATATTTTATTTTAAAATCAGGTAAGGTGTAAATTTCCATATATCCATTGTCTCGGGTTAAAACAACCCAGTATGTTGGTGTTGGTACTTCTAAGAACTTTAACCACCACATAGTGTTTTTGTTAGAAACTGAATTATGGGGTGTTTCTCTAGAGGAAGGATCTCTTGCATCACCGTACAACATCTCTTCTTCGTCTTCCACAGAATCACTGACAAAATGATCATGCTGTAATTTTGGACCAACCAATGGGATCTCGGCTTGAGGCATAGTGCTTGAAAATAAGCCACTTACATCACGGTACACAGCCAGAGTCTTTGTTTGTGGTATTTGTTCAAAGTTAGTAGGTCGCATGAGTAAAATCCTTCCTGTGGGTTTTACAGTTAGAACTATTACTTGTCCATCTTCAGTCAGCAATACAGCATAGGGATTACAACTCGATCCGTGTATTATCGGAGAGCCAAAATCCAAGGAAACACTTTGCAATTGTTCAGAACCATTAAGCAATCTTACAGAATACCTTAAAACTTGTATAACAAATTTATTCATGTTACATACAAAAACTGTATGCTCACGTGTAGCATAACCTGAAGAATCTAATTCATTGATTTCTTGTCCAGTTTGAAGAATTAAAGTTGAATCTACATTTGTTAATATCATAAATGTATGAAAATCATTTTCGCCATGAACAGTCCACATATCTTTGTAACCATCTAAATGAAACGTAGTGACTAATTGAGGTTTAATGGAACGATGAAGTACACTTAATGCTCCATTTTTGCCATGACCAGATGTACATAATAATTCTACATCGTGTTCATCACTACTAAATTCATCTGATATATAAGCCGGCTCTCCTATAGATGCTTGACTGCATGGTCCTATATTTATAATACTATCGCATACTTCAAAACTATAACTTTCTAAACAAATCGATGTCTGTACTTCACTGCCATATACTTCTAGTTCAACGAGGTCTTCATCAGTTTCGTCAGTTTTTTTACGCTTTATGCTGGGTTCGTCATCATTGCTTTGAGACCGCGCATAATATCTTAAAAGTAATGAATTTCCAAGTCTAGACCCAAGAAACAAATAGGAATCTAAACATACCGTTATACATGTAGTTAAAACACTTGAAGCACATTTTTCAAAATGAAAACTTCTAACTGCACGCATGCTATCGGCATACAGTGTGATCACATAGAGATCACCGTTACATAGTGATGTCACAAGCTTATCGCTTGATATAAATGTGGCAGTAGCACGATCCAAAACAAGATTAATGTCTTCTTGCTGTCCCAAAGGAAAATTGGTTAATGTTTTGGCTATGGAATTAAGAGCAACACCAAATGGAGGTACACTTTGGTTGAGGTAGATTAGTGAATTAACAGCCATAATTAGAACACCGCCTATTGGACGAGATACAGCAATTACTTTTTGACAATCATATGGAAGTGAATCCAAAGACCAAATTACTGGATGAACGTGCTGTTGAATATTTAGTGAAATAGCCACCTGTAAAATATTTTTATTAATTTTATTAATTTTATTATAACATGAATTTTACAAAACTTACCATTGCACACGTATCTTTCCTTACTGCTATACGTCCAGCAAAAGTTTTAACTGGCTCATAGAGAATAAGTAAAGTTGGTTCATAATATCCATGTAAAAAATCAAAATCCATAATATTATTCATCTTGGGATCTATTTTAGATATCGGAATTGTATAGCTAGGCATAACTTGAGCACTTTTAGCATTGTCATCGATTGTACGGCCAAATGGTAGAACAACAAAATAACTCCCATAAACTAAACCAACTACACATCGACCATCTGGATCTACTCTAATCAATGGTGGACTCCAATGTTGAGTATGGCCATTTTTGAATTTATCATCTTCGAAATAATGTAATGACAATGTACGTAGACTGTGCATGTCACGATCATACTCAACCAAACTGAACTTGGCCTCAGAGAAGCTAAGTAATAAAGCATCTGGAGAACTCGGACACAATGTTACAGATTGCAGGCACATTATATTACCAAACAACGTGTATTGGGCCAGACATTCAAATTTGGTTTTAGGTGGCTGACAAGTCGTATCAGTTGGTACCAATCGGTAGACCCGTAGAATGTTAACACCGGCCACCACCAGACATTTTTCTACACGATTGAAGAAGTAACAATAAACAGCATGCTCCACGCAAGTTGGTATACGGGTTTGTTTGCACAGCGAAAACATTATTGTCAATGTAACGAAACTTCGATGACCGAGCGACTAGTGAATTACTAACATCGGTACAGTCGTTTACGCACCTTACGCAACGAAAGATAAAATATAACTTATAACACATACATACTATGATTTGAATTAATTGACACCGCGATTAACAAAAAAAAATTGAAATAACGAATTTTTTCTTTGAAACAATAAACAAATTAATTTATAAATTATAAGTTGTAACTTACAACTCAAACGCGAATGAACGATAAAATAATATAATATTGTTATTTTGTTAGCCGCTTTGTTGTTATCATTTATCAACGTAAACATAACCTTAAAATAATGATAACATGGGTAAATGATAACCACGGACTACTTGTCCGTGATGATAACATTGGATAGATCATCAGACATCAAGATAAAAAAAAACTCTTTATTCTTTACTTCACGGACCAAGGTTGAAGGTGATCTTACTATCTCTTTACTAAGTCCGTGCTTTACTTAGATGAATATATAATACATGTATGTAAGTAGACCTGATACCTTGTAGTCTTTGTTTGTATGTGAGTTTTTTACGATAATTCAGTTTTTAAGTGAGACGTGAGTGATGGGCATTTTTAATTTACTCCATATTATATACGTAAAACTTGCTTAAAAATGGGTCTATCGTAAAAAACTCACATACAATCACAGACTATGTTCTTACCATCAAGTTTATAATAGATCGATTAACTCTAATTTTTAAACTAACGGAGCTATTATCGTTATCTGCTTAGCATAAATTCGATATGTTTCGTGCGCGTAGCCCGTGTACCAAGCTCTTAATATTATTTTGAGCATATTTATTGTTCTGTGTTTTGAGTTTTGACTTACGGCATTATGTCACGCACCTACCGAAGGATCTGTCCATCAAAAAGTTAAGATTATACAATATTGTGGTTAATACTATCCATGATTAGACCATGATACCTACATTCATGGTTAGGTAGGCACTTGTAGAGTGGTGGTTTTATTATAGGTACCTTTCAACTAACAGCCGAGATATTTTATGTATTATGTTGGATTAGTTACATTTTTATTTTCATAATTATTCTCTTTTATGATAGGTACCTATACCTGCTACCGTCCTCGTTTTTATTTTATACTATATTCCCACATCTTTAACAATTATATAATATAATATTGTGTTATATTATTTACCCCAGTGTCCTAGTAGAAATTTTTTTTTTTTTTTGGGGGGGGGGGGGGCAGTGGCGTCCGCAGGATTTTTCAATGGGGGGGGGGCTTGAAAATTAGTTACAATTTTATTTTTATTTTGTCCAGTCTAATAATTGCAGACGTTTATTTGGAGTATTTTAAAATGTTTGTAACTTTTCAACTCTTCTGGTAGAAAAAATGCTCTGATCATAAGTTTTCGATGCCCAGTGTATGTTTTTGGAAGCAAATTGGATCTAGTTAGTACTTTTAGGAGGTCGATATTGAAAATTTTTAGTGCTTTTGAAAATAATTGGAGAAAAAAAAATGAAAATTTATTTAAATTGTTTGGTAACAAGCTTGGTTATACCGTCTTAACTTGTATTTGATTAATTAAAATTTTTTTTTCTATAAATGTCAATTACAAATTATTTATCCGGTCAAAAAGCTTAAAAATGTAATACGTCAGTTTTTTTATTATAGCTTAAATATTAACAATAGGTACATTGGCATCATGGTTATTTTTTATAAGCATTTAAAGTTCAAATTTCGTCAAAACCACGGTTAATTTGTAGTTCAAAACTTATAAAATATAAAATATGTATATCTAAGGCTAGACAATTTAATACAAGGTCTTTCATACAAGTAATTCATACTTTTACCGAAAAATTACAGATAATTTATGAAAATTAAAATTTTTTTCAAAAATGAATTCATTCTAGGAAGACATATATGAGATTTACTGTAGTTGACAGTTTAAACTTGATTAATATTTTTTTGAAAATGTAATAATAATACGGGCAATGGGGGGGGGGCTTCAGCCCGTTAGCCTCCCCCCTGCGGACGCCACTGGGGGGGGCACCTATTTTTTTTAGTTTTTGCCATGTTAGAATATTTAATTATGACCCCTTTGTCGGGATTTGTTCAACTACACTTTTTATGACTATTTATTTATGTTAACAACTAATAACCATTGTACCTACATTTAATATAACAATGTATTAACCATAGGTTAATTATACCCAGTGTATACCCTAATCATACTCGTATTCATTAATATAAGTATAATAATATATTATTAATCATTATATCAATATATCATGTAGTAAACAAAATATTTTATTTTTTGTTCGTATATGATTACAATTTACTAACAATAATACAAGTCTATAATATATTAAGGCTGTTGAAAGCTGGTCGTTATTCGTGCATTTAAACCAATAAGTAAAAAAAAATATACCTACTTCCAGAAGTCCAATTTTAATTTTGAAAAAATATTAGAATTTCTCCGCTTTTTGTCTGTGTCTTTACTCTTATATTTTAGTAGCAAATTATTTTTTTTAGTAATATTAAAGTATCAAATATAATCTTTATATATATAATTCTACTGTACATGTGTTTGTAAGCGAACTCCTCCTAAACGGCTGGACCGATTTTGATGACATTTTTTGTGTGTGCTTTAGTGGCCCCTAGAATGGTTTAGATTCACAATTGGACCCTTTAGGCCCATTCCGTGGAGGTGCTCAAATGGGTATGTTGAGATTTATGGTGGGTATTTTTGTTTATAAATGGTTGCCATGGGTAATGGGTTTTAAAGCTATTATAATAATAATATTGGGGGACGAGGCGGGCGAGCGGTCAACGCGTCGGCTGCGGCGCTGCCGGTTCGGGTTCGATCCTCGACCACTGGGCTACATTTTTCTCCGGGCAAGTCACGGTGTCCGGAGAACAAGTGCCGCCATCCCCCACTCCGGGGCATGGCAGAAACCTACGGGTGCCCCATTCGAAATTCTGCCAAAACACAAACACTCACGTGTAAGCCCCCACCAACAAAAAACCCTACCATCACCACCTTACAACCTACCAACAGCTAATGGCCATAGATGCCGGGCTTAAGGATCAATAAAAAAAAAAAAAAAAAAAAAAATAATATTATTATTGGGTGTCGTGAAATCAGTGTTTTTAATCAATGCATTTAATTTGTTTGTAGGCTGTGTTTTGATATTATGTGTATCGCAATTACGTAAATATTGAGAGTATTAATATACTCATATATAAGTTACGTACATAAAACAATGCCACGTCTTCAAGGATGAGGAGGAAATACTGGTTGACATACTCAGCATTCACAATTATTAGTCCAGTCGTTTAGGAGTATTTCAGTGACATACTTGGTAAAACTTTGATACTTTAGAGTTAAATTATAAAGTTACGTACAAACAGCACAGGGTACGCAATCTACCACAGGTAGATTGCCTACCATGATAATAAACTGCTGCAAATCAGAATTTTTATCCCAGGCAGCAGATGAGATATGATAAATTTTGAACACCATACATCGTGAATATTAAATAACGAATTGAAAAAAGTTTGAGTCATATTATAGAGTTGGTACATTTAACGGGAAACGAAGTGCACGGGATCAGCTAGTATAATATATAAATATAATATCAAATATGTTTTCAAAATTAAAATAGGACTTTTGGACTTTGGTATTGGGTGAATTTTATTTCCGGTTTTTGGGAATTTCGTGGCACATGGCAGTTGAACATTTTTTATCTCAAAATATAGTGACTTGTGACGTATTTCCAAGAATTTATTTTTAAAACATTTCGGGGGACGTGTCCCCAGTGCCCCTCTGGCTATGGCACTGATTTACCCCAATAATATGATTTTGGTGTAATTATTGTAAGTTGATATAAAAAAAAAAAACAATATTCTAGTGGGACATTTTGTATCTTTGTAGTTAAGGAATAATAGTATGACTATTGATCACTGAATATATTAAATTAAAATAAATTACAAATATAATACATAGGTAAGTATTGTATAATTAAGGGATCTGTAAAAAGTGTAGGTACTGTAAAGAACTTTTAATTAACATAATTAGTAGCTATAGTAGGTACATGTAGGTACTCAAACAAGTATAAATAGAAATAATAACAACAGTTTTAAATAAATTATATAAAATTGAATAAAAATGTTTATTATTAAAAACACTGGGCAACCTTTTTTTTAAAAAATTTTTCCCCATTCATTGTTTCCAAGTCTACAAATATTTTAATTTTTGTTAACAAAATAAAATGGGTAAATATTGTTTAATTATCCCAAGTGATAAGTTTAAAAAAAAACTATAATTTATTTAAGTATCAAAAATTATACACTAAAAAAACATTTTTAAAAAGCCAAGAATTTTATTTTATTTTTACTTACCCAACGAATATACGGTGTGTTTCGTAATGATTGCATATGAGGAAAGAAAGCTTTTTGTTTTCTGTTTTAGACATATTTATATATTGCGCTAACGCGTATTCCCAGGGTGGAATTTTTACGGATTCGTTATTTTATACTTCAAAAATATGAATTTATTCGTCGACGTTTTAAAACTTTAATACGATTTGTATGACTGCTGTGATACTTACATATGTTTAGCTTCAGGACAAATATACATATAATGCCCTAATGGAATAACTAATAAGTATAAATATAGATAAACTTGAAATTCTACACACGTATAAAGTTTTTTTCTTTTTTTGTAAACAAACGGGAAAACTACTATAGGTAGAGATGCATGACAACAATATTTTTCCGGGTCAAAGTATTTTGCACATATTAAATTTAAAAACCTATGTACAATACACCTATACCCACCTAACTTTCCTTAAGCTCGTTTGTATTAAATTAACTGACTTAAACTTACCTGAACAATGTACCAGGACGAAAACCGCAAACTTATCCACACCATATAGAATACGTTGGTTATGAAGTCTACTATGTTCCATAAGTCAGCTGCATAGTCCACCAGACCGTCCGAGTACAGCGAGTGCGCTTCTCGCCATATTAAACCTGCAGCAGACATTTTACACACACGTTAACGGTATATTTTGCACAGGTGTAACTCCACATATTTTACATCCATCCAAAATTCGAAAAGTTTTAACACTAAAATAATTTCCTTTATTTTTAGTATCTATATATACACTAGTATCTATCTATATATGTCTTTGGGTAATTATTATTTTCTCTCTACCATTACTTTTTTAGTATGTTTTAAATAGTAGGTATATAGCCATATAGGTATGTTTATCAAGCTTATATATAAAACTGCACTCTTATAATATATTTAATATGTATCATTTATATTCATGATAAACGATAATAAACTCACTTATGATGTACAATATGATACCACATTCTATAGGCCCGGGTATAGATCCTCTTTCTTTTCTAGTCATTTCCTCTAGTATCGATCTCGTCCAATCGGTGTCAATCCATTCCAGCGCTAAAAACTCGGCTCTTTGAGATGCTAATGCTAGTAACGCTGTATTATAAAATAAAATAAACATAATCAATATTAGTGCAAAATGGATGCAGTTTTACAGAGAATGCCTGAATGCTTTATAATATATTAAAATACTATATGTTATATAGTACGACGTATACAATGTATCCAAAGTTAAAGGCAACACTAACTAGACCGGTGGAACGACATTTCATTTTTATAATAACGGGAAATTTGTGATAATTAAAAGTATACTATAGTATATTATATTATATTATATTTTGAGGAAAATATCAATTTCAATTGAAGTATCTGGTGACCTACTTGATACTTCAAATTCAGAGATTTTTATACAGCAAAGCTAGTTTTTTTATTATATATTTGACTAAGCAATTTAATACATTTTTTTTGGTTTTTAGGGAACTTAAAAAAATTCAGTAGGTAGTACCTATGTGTGTTTGGCAATATTGACACAGTACGACAAACTTTTAACTATTACTTTAACTTAACTTATTGTGTTTTACCACATTAAACCATCAACTTAATGTGAAAAAAAAAATGTAATATTTATTATATATACCAGGTATCTTTCAACTTGGTCACACATTTTTGTTCGGTCATCGTTGGTATACGCGCCTTTTGCCAAAAAATGATCGCTAGTTGTAGCACTAATGTAGCACATTGATGCAAATTTAATGTAAATTCGAGTATATTAAAAAATAGTACTGACAAAACTTGCTTGTTTGATGATAATTTACAACCAACTATTTGATTTAAACTATGTACAATTAAAAAAATATATTTTGACTCACTTAAACTATTCCTGATAACCATTTTAAATCAGCAAAATAAAATATATTTCTTACAAAGTATAACATATTCTGAAAACTTAACACACAGTAATTAAGTATGACACTGGTTGTTGTTATAATTCAACTGAGAAATAAATCAAATATCAATAAATCGCAAAATAATAATTGACAATCTACAATGATTCAATAAACTCGATAACACTTCACGTACCTAAGTCCTAAGTGTAATAATGTAGAATGTAGATAATACTTAGTTTTGTTGTACGAGTAATGAATGTTACAATGTATCATGGAAATAATCTTCACGTAATAATCGAAAAAAACGGATATAGATATTAGTTAAACGTTAAACTGCTCAGTACCCACCTGACGATTCTATATTAATTTCTTGTACCATAGATTACAACGTGTAGTAAAACTTACAAACTATATTATACATTACCTAAATAAGTTTATGTTCATTTAAATCTCATTATATGATATAGAAAACATTGTATTTACTGCCAAGTTAAAACATAGTTACAAATTTATATTTTTAAAAATTAAATATTTAAAAAAAAATGTTTAAGTATAAAACTGTTGTAATAATAATAATGTGTAATTTAAGTCCTTACAATGTTTTTGTAAAATCATTTTTTTAAGAGGTATGATTAATTATATTAAAAAATTAATGATTTCGAACATTTTTTTATTATTAAAACTTTAGAGCTTTTGCGGCGCTGGTTAAAGTTGATCAATTTGTCTGAAATTTTTTCTTGTGCTTTTTTATAGTATTGAAACCGATTTGAGGGGGGTAACTTGAACATTTTGCAATTTTTTTTCCTTCATCTATACCAGAGGACCACCCTAATAGTAGTTATTACTTATTCCATATAAATACTAATACATAGTATTATCTCTAACTTTGGTAAGCAGTATACCTTAATATTTTAACATACTCAAAAAAAATGCGTAAGAAGACGAATGGCAGACGAATTTTATAAACGGTTTTTTCATCAGCTGGCCCATTTTTGAATCTGGATTTAGCATGTACATCGAACCATACATCGCGAACATTGCACCAAGTTTCCCAACTTCAATCATTTGTCCGACCATACTTTTCCTACGAAAACCAGGTAAACCGTCGTACCAGATGGCGGCTAACAATTGTTGAACGTTTGGATGAGCTACAAACTATATTATATATTACAAATACAGACTTAGTCGTAAAGTGTTTAGTACATTAGAATGCATAGCATTTGATTTATATTAAACCCGTCATAAAATTATATTAGATAATATGATTTAAGTTTTTAAGTTTAAACTCGTAGATCCTAGAATCTTTATATAGTGAACGATAATGATAGGTACCTAATATGTGCATAATATTTAAATGTATTTTGTAAAATATTCACAAGAAAAAGATATTTATGTTATTAAAACTAATACTTATTAGTTACCCATTGGTACTTATTTACTTTAACATAATATCAATAATTGTTGCACAAGAAATATATTATAATTTATTTTACTATATTTTAAGATATACTTATCTAATTGGCTACCCATAGGTAATTAAAACATTTTACAAACATTTTATATTTAATGAAATATTTTATTTATAGAAATGTTTTCCTATTAGGTCGCATACGTGCCCATAAACACTTTGAAAAACCGTTTCTTTGGAGAAGAACCACTACAGTCGTAGTTTTAAGAAATGTACCTAATACAAATAGCAGTTAGATACTAAAATTATATTTCAATATTTGTTTTATCGTATCGTTTTAAATAGATTGATATCGTTAATATAAAAAAAGATTCTCTGCTGTACAGTAGGTTACAAGTGGATCACTGTATAATGGATGGTATTAAATTTGAATTCAATGATAAAATATCATTATATAAGAAAAACGATTCTGAGCGGAGACGGTATGTCAATCTAGGTATAAGACATATTATATACTTATCTATGTTATTAAAAAAATTGACCTATAATAGGTACCTATAATAAATTCCAAATTAATCATATCACAATATCCATTGGGTACTTATAAAGTAATAACGCATTATACATCAACAACAAACCCTGATACTATCATAGATATAATTATATAAAACAGTGTACTTTAGAAGTTTCAAGTACCCACGAATAATATTATACATCACAATGGTTTTTTTTTTTATGTAATTTCATCCAAATTTGAACTTAAAAGAACTATAAAAATAAACTAAGCTTATGTATTTTTCAGATATTTTGGTAACAGAATTAACTACTTACGTGGAATCTTGTTTTAAATTTTCAATCCTTAGATATAAAAGTTGAACATTTTATACATTTTGAACTACAAAATAATTATTCAATTTTAAATTTGATAAATTTTGTCAACATTTGAAGTAAATGCTCATAAAAAAAAATGTGAATCTGTGTATTTTTAATATTTTTAACTGCTACTGTAAACATTTATCAGGAGCCTTGTATTTTCATGCTTTTTGACTAATCAAATAACATTTTATTATACAAATTTTAATTTAAAATTGATTTTGTAGTGGAATTTTTGTTAAGTGTTCAACTTTTATAGATAAGGATTAATTTAAAACATGGATCCATGTAAATAGGTAAGCAAATATTACTTTATTCACAATAATATCATCAATAAGGTACATACTTATACTCTTTTCAGAATAAGAAGGAACCAGGCGGCCACGGACAAAACCGGTTTTGTTACGTAAATCTGGTGCGTTCTTATTCTGAAAAGAGTATAGTAATATATTATCATAGGTTGACTGACCGTCTTCCCTCAGAATTGTTTTTCGTATACAATGATATTATACCATTGAATTCAAATTTAACACCATCCATTACAGTGACCCACTTTTAATCTAGTTTACAACAGAGCAACATCCACTTACCCACCTTTTTATAAATAATGTTGTATATCATTTCTGTTTTTAATGAAATAAACCCATTGTAGGTAGTTGATTTTTGTTTGTAATTTGTATTTAAAGTTTTGGCATCAATAATATAATTAAATTATATTACAGCTAAATAATACAATTATATTCAATAGTATAGTAAAAATTACCTACCAATTTATTATAATTTTATTAATTTTTAAGTGCACTATAAATTGTATTATTGCATGCAATTTTCATACCTACAACCTAGTTTATTATTAGAGGAACTGCTGCAAATTGCAATCGATATGTTATTGTGTTTTCAATGTCAGGTACATCAGTACCTATTTCAGATTAAATAACAAAAGAAAAATATCCTGGTTCTAACGCATAATAATATTTAATAATTAAAATTATTAATTATTAGGTGATGTTGTTGGAATATCCTTGTAATACATTTTGTAGAAATGTACGTCATCGCAATATTGTATAATACACAGTGGGTGATAATTATTATACATGTTTGTTATTTTTATTTTCAACCCAAGCTCTTAATAACATTTTTAATGCTTGCGGGGTGTGACGTGCTTACAAGTTTTTCTAGAACAGTGTGTTTACTGTTTTTTTTTTTTTTTACAAAAACTTAGAATCAAACATGGAAACTAATTTTAATTTATATGGTTGTTTAAAGATATTTCTAAAAATAACGAATAGTATTTATTATTATTTTATTATTATTGTTAAAATATTAATTCCCCGTCAATAATATTACCGCTTTCTGTTTGTATTTGATAGCCAATTTTAAACGTTCCAGGGTCAGTCTCTCTCCCGGTTCCCACGGATCACCTTTGGGATTATGATTCAACATAATCTCCAGTTCGTACGACGTCCTCACGTGATCCAACAGTGATGTAGCAAATGTCTGAACAGTATTCCTCATTTCCTGTAGGTACAAACACATTGAATACCATAATAAGTAACGACACGCGTACATAAATTAACGTGTTATATTAATTTATATATACCAGTTAACCTCTATTTATAACTAACTCACATTATATTCATTTCTGAATTCAGATTCCATGGTGCTAAGTCGGCGAAGCTCCCAACTTAATTCGAAAGCGGTCAGCAGAGGATCTCTTGATGATAGAGCTATTAGGGATGGGGACGTAAGTGCTTTGTACGCGTTTATTCTTGAATGAGAGTGCCGAAGTGAATCATGTGTGTTTGACGTGATACACTCGTCACAACCACACCTAAAATAATAAATTAATATAATCATAGATAGGTACAACATAGATGTATGCAGCTTTAGGTAAATCTAATGACAACATAAAATAACAAAAATGTGATTCTTTACGTAGGTAAAAGTTCGATGAACTTTTTGCCGACCACTAAATGGCAATTTATCAGTATAATTCATTAAGATCGGCTTAAGAACATGCATTATATTTAAACCGTTTATACATTACATTTACATAACCTAACATCATTCTTAATATTTTGTTACAACATGTTTTTAGGAAAATAAAGATATTTAAAATTATTCTACCCATTAATAGGTAAACCCAGTTATGAATTTATACAATTTATACCTGTCCTATTATATATTATTTTAGTATCAGCTTAAAATTCAGTACTGCTAAAATTGAATGGTTTTTATTGTCATTACTGCATTTTGTTCTCGCGCTACTTTTTACTCAAAACTTTTTGTCGATACTATTTGTATAGGTAATTATTTTTTCCAACCGAAAGCCAGGAAATTATTTAGTTTTTTTAATCATGTTTTCCCTTTCGATTAACTTGGTTTGTAAAATATACAATTAATACGGAGTGACCAAAATCTACGAACCCGTATGAGTGCACGTCACATTTAATCTAATATTGTATTCTCATTTTAAACTTTCCTGCTATGGTTATAACGTATAAGCTACTATTATATAAATTACAATGATATAGTTTTTTAATGTATATAATTTATATTTTATAATAATATACTATTTTTGTTTCTAAACATTTAATGTCAAAAATAACTATACATATATCACAACCAACAAATTACTGTCTTTGGTTCAACATTATTTACCTCTTAAATTAACTATACCATCGTTTTAATAAATATAAAATATTGTAACATTTTATGTATAAAAGTAGGTATCAAACATAAAAAAAACCTATTGCCAGTTATTTCGTGGAAGCGTAGGTGGCCGCCCTGTAGTGGTATAGTCGTTTCCATGTACTTACTATGCATCAACCCATTTGCATAATACTACCCATTAATTAATTCTATTCTACGAGCGTTTTTTGGCGTTCATGACTTGCGTCATATAATTTAATTTTAACTAATGAATATTAAACGTTTGCAAAAAACATATATCATATTGTAATTTGCGTAGGACGAACCTGACGTCGTGGGGCATGGGCAATGTAGCACCTCTGTCCAAAAGGATCTTTAATATTTCATAGTTGTTCATGTGAGCTGCAAGTGTCAGTGGCGTTATGTCAGGCGTAAACGTCGAAGCTGACGATTCCACTGCTTCCCAAGACTGTAAACACATAATAATATAATTTATTATGCATATTACATATAGATAATATTTGTGTGTCACGTGCAGTATTTTAAGGGCACTACACGACTTAAGTTGTACGCAAACTCACGTAAGGATCTCCAACGACGTGTATCTTTTCCTCCCATTCCAGTAAAAGTTCCACCGCTTCCACGTACTCTTCCTTGATAGCGTGCAACAAAGCATCTTTAACCTTGATCCCGGATTTGAGCAACAACTGTATCAAATCCATGTTTTCATTTTCGATGGCTGTTATCAATGCCGATCTGTTTAACGGGTCCGTGCAGTCGATGTTAAGTATATCCGGCTGACCTCTGTGTTCCTCCAAAATCCTACATTAAATATTATAATTTGTTTTTACCCGATTTCAGCACTCTCCGCGGTAAAACAATCAACACACCATATTAATGAATATGGTATAAAAATAATTTAATGTATCAAGGGTTTCAAGTTATAAACTATTTCACTGCCATAAATACACGATATTAGAAATAATTATTATTCCATAGATATCTATTATAATTTATTACTAAATATTATTATACTTTAAAACAAAACAAAAGGAAAATAGAAAGTATATATTTCAGAAATTTCTTATTAATTTCCATATAAATAGAACATATATAATACATTTTATAGAGATAAAATGTTCCATTCCAAGGATCAGTCATCAGTGTAATGGTGAAGTTTTTTTAAAAATTAATTAATATTATTAACGGAAAGAAAGAAAACATTCAAGTATTTATGGATAATTTCTTCGAATTAAAGTGTTTTCTTTTGTATTCGGTATAATGAAAATTCCAGGGCAAGTTTTTTCTTAGGATTTCAATAATTTCTATGACGTAATTTACATACCTCTGAACAGATGCGCAGTCTCCTCGCTCGGCGAGCAACAGAAACTTTTTTTCGGTGGGTGATAACACATAATCGGGCGGTAAGACGAATGATTTACGATCTCCACGCAGCTGCTCTTTGGAGCCAATAAGGTCTTCTTTTGACTGAGATTTCGTCATTATGAAAACCTGGAAATACACAACATCAGCATTGCGCAATGTGACATGTGACCTTAGACAAAGCTATCAGCTGGTCTAATATTTTATTTTATTTCATTTTTTACTCACGCAAACGGGGAGCAAGCTATAATATTCCCCAAGGAGAACCGCATAAACGATTACCTAAAATGAACTGTCCCATTAAAGAGCACCGAGCCCTGGACACCGGTGGAAACCTTACAGCTAGTTATATTTTCTATGCACTTTTGCAGCTACACAGGCTGTTTGTTGACCCGCGTTTGGATTAGTGTTATTGACATTTGAGCCAATTCATTCGCTGTCGTATATTATATCATACTAATGTGGTCCGTCGGTCATCACAGAATGCTTGAATTTAACACAAAATCCGTTTCAAATTTTAACGGTATGTACGTGGAAAAAAATACCCTAAGCACGACGTGAAAATAATAAATTACCCCAAAAGGATTTAAAGAGTATTACCGTTTCTTTCACTAAAAAGGATTTCCACTGCGTGTCATTATAATGACGGTAAAAAAAAAATAATAATAATTCATATAATATATAATATTTACACCGTCATTAACAATGCCCGTTTGTACAATGAGGAAGCGTAAAAAAGTCAGTTCACGTACAGAAACGAGTCTAGAATATACCTACCTACGGACTCGTCGTCACGTCGCGTTAATAACACCGGATTTGGCGAGCGGGTGGTCATAGAATGGACGAGAGTATATTAAAGTAACAATAATAATAATGGAGTGCATATACGGGACCAGCGTTTGAAGAAAGGACCGGGAAAAGAAACTATATTTTCTACTTACAAATTTTAAGCGTGATGGGTCTGACCTTAAAATTATATATACAACGGCGGCATAACCTGCCATTATATATCCAATTAGACAGTATAAAATTCAAAGTCCATTAACAGTCGAAGTTTCGTTTAAGTTAAGGGGCGTAGGGTTAAATATCCGTGTAATTGTCCAAGGATGTAAAAGGAACTGGTGTGCGCACGAATTATACCCGTAGCGCAAGCTTATCAAAAGAGGGAAAACCACGTGATGGCGTAGACAAAGCAAGACCCGGGCAGCGCCGGATAAAGAAAATTGCACGAGTGATGGTTCCAAAGTTCGCGTAATTCATGCACTTTACGTCTTTACATACGGTCTCCGGTCGATTACATAGATTATGAGATACAATTTAAAAGACCGCGTACGCGTATAGACCAATATATCTAATATTATACATACATTGCAGGAGAATCAAAATAATTATATAGGTAGGTAGTAGCCAGTAGGTACCTAGGTGATATTACACTATTACCTACACGTTTAAAAGAATCTTGTTCAGTTTTTCTTTTTTTTTATCAAATACCTGTACATAATATATTTAATTTAATTAACTCAAACTAATAGTGTACAAACAGTTAATTTTAATACCGTTTTAAAATGTATAACCAACACTATATTTAGCATCCTAAATAATGCCCATCGTTTTTTTTGCAGTCATTGTCCGCCTAAAAGATTTAGAGTCAATGTTAATGCCTAACACACTATATCGTATATAGTTTATTGTATTCCATATAGTCAGCTAGTATATAAATATACTATAAAATGTGTTAGTGTGTGATTTGTGTAATATTATTCATTATAATCATAGATAATAAAGATATGAATATTGGATAGGACATAACGTCTTATCGTTGAAGAATGAAATTATACGAATTAAGGACAAAAAAGTATAACTATATCAATATTCTGATTATCTATATAGATTATAGGTATCACAGATATATATAATAACTAGATACCCGACTCCTTATACAACAACATTATTAAATTTTGATGCCCGACGCCATTTTTGACTTTGGCAATGTTTATAAATTCTAATCGTTTTGATTGGCTACGGGCTTGTTTGATATGAAATGTTGTTGTTTATTATATAATATTACCTTTTTAAAGATTAGTAAACATTGCCAAAGTTGCAAATGGCTGCCAGCGTCATTGATAAGAAGAAGTCGGGTATCTAGTTATTACCACCTATGTATATCTGTGATAGCCTATCACTGATAGGTATAATAATCATACGTATAAAAATATAAGCAAACGGCCTCAATTTCTTATCTATGTTGGACCGCAAAAATAACACAATGAATATGTTATGTCCAGGGCCTGATTAAGGAGTTGGTCACCAGTAGGCTAGGGTTGATTTGGCGCCCCTATGAATGATCGAAGTGGTTGGAGGGTAAAACGAGGATTAAGAAAACGTAAAAACAACAGACTTTTTTTGTTTAAAATAAAATGTGTTTTATATTTAATAAAATTATACACAAAAGCATTTCAACATTTTTAATTTATGATTGAACTAAATATTATTCATTTAAAAAAGTTTTTTCCTTGATTTTAACGCTGCGAAAGACTCTACTATTTCATCGAAAGAAATATGGTTCATGAATTCACTTTCAATAAACAAAAGTGCAAGGGCCTTCATTTTATCCTGGCGTAAAGTGGATCTTAAAATGTTTTTCACCCGCCCTAGAGCAGAAAAAGATCTTTCTCCGCTACAATTTGTGACGGCCATTCTCAAATATATTCTTAGAGCCACTTCAACATTTGGAAATAGTGACTCTATCTTCAAGGATTTTAAATGACTCAAAAGTCTTATATATAATATTAGTGGATGTGGGATCGCTCGGTCGTCGGTGCGATAAGCCCGCGACGATTACAAGAAATAGGTATATTATGACAAATAACGTAATATATTAGTATATTACAATAGTCGACCAAGCGGAAATTCGTTGCGGCGACGCGGTAACGGCACGGCGAATAGGCCGCGGCATTGAACGTGTAATAACGAAAATATATTTTTTTTTTTTTAAAGTATATATTATGCAAAAATTCTACATTCGTAAAAAAAAATTTTGTGGCGCCCCCAAAACGCTTGGCGCCCTAGGCTGTAGCCTACTTAGCCTATTGGTTAATCAGGCCCTGGTTATGTCCTATCCATGTCTAAAATTATCTATGTTATAATTCAACTACTTTTGGTATTAGATTCTGAGTAAAACGATGAATGTATTGATTTTACAATGATGTGTGTTGTTTTTTTTTTTAATTTTTTTAATTTTTTTTTTTGTGTCTGTGTACTGAATGTTCATATTAGCATTTCCTATACACCATACAATTTTTAAAATATTTTGACTCTTTATGAGCTGTTTACGGACATTTACAGTTTTAAATTTGTTTAGTTTTTTTTTCTATAAATATCAATAAAGTTTTATCTGTTGGGCCAAAAAGTGTAAACATTTAATACAAGGCTCCTTATATATTGTTACAATATCAGTTGAAAAATATTAAAAATACATGGGCACAATTTTTTTTTTATTAGCATTTAAAGATCGAATTTTGACAAAATTTATCAAATTTAAAATTGAATAATTATTTTGTAGTTAAAAATTTATAAGATGTTCAACTTTTATATCTAAGGATTGAAAATTTAAAACAAGATTCCACGTAGGTAGTTTATTCTGTTACCAAAAAATCTAAAAAATACATAAGCACAGTTTATTTTTATAGTCATTTTAAGTTCAAATTTGGACGAAATTACATAAAAAAAACCTAGAATATTTTGTTGACTGTTGTGATTGTATAATATTATTCGTGGGTACTTGAAACTTCTAAAGTAGGTACACTATTATATATCTATGATAGGATCAGGGTTTGTTGTTGATGTATAATGAGTTATAAGTACCTATTGGATATTGTGATATAATAAATTAATTTAGGTACCTATTATAGATCAATTGTTTTTAATACCATAGATAAGTATATAATATGTCTTATACCTAGACTGACCTACCGTCTCCGCTCAGAATCGTTTTTCTTATACAATGATATTATATCATTGAATTCAAATTTAATTCCATCCATTATACAGAGACTCACTTGTAACCTACTGTACAGCAGAGCACCTTTTTTCAGTTAGGTATAGAAATAATAATGGAAAAATAAAAATAAATAGTAAACATTTATGAAATTAAAGTGGTTTACCAATTATATCAGGTAGGTATAAGTGCAATAAAAATCAATACACTGCAGCTTATTACGATTCTAGAGCATTGTAATGTTACATCTAGTATTACATTCAGTTTAAATTGTTGGATGGAATTGAATTTGAGAATAAACTTCTAGATAATATCATTTATTTTGGCGATTGAAGAATCAAAAAATATATAAATTCCACAGGTTACGTTCCCGCAGTACTCCTATAGAAAATAATACCATCAAAATGTGTTTATATTAAACTATTATGCTTGTCGTTAGATGGTATCTAAAAGTTAAAACTACATAGTGTAGCATTACATTAGAATTGTTGTTACAATGCTTAAGAGGACGCTACACCCGCATGTGTTGTCTCCGTCTTACACACGTACGACATAGACAAAACGCGTTTAGGCAATCTGAGTATAACTCGCTCAATTTTGGTTCTAGAGTAAAAATGCCTATTATGAAATTGAATTGTGATAATATTTCTAAGGGCAAGACGCTGCGGTTTTTCCATTATACCCAATATAACGTTCATTACATCGTTTAGAAATAGAAAAAATTTCACCATTTTTAAAATACCTTTGACTTTTAAAAAATTAAATTTTTTAAAAAAACCGCAGCGTCTTGCCCTTAGAAATATTATCACAATTCAATTTCATAATAGGTATTTTTACTCTAGAACCAAAATTGAGCGAGTTATACTCAGACTGCCTAAACGCGTTTTGTCTATGTCGTACGTGTGTAAGACGGAGACAACACATGCGGGTGTAGCGTCCTCTTAACGTTAAATGTTTAAATTGTACCTATATCAATATCGTATACAGCCATGACACGTTGGTCATCATATAAATATATTATGTAATATGTATTATGTACTAATGTGTGCCATTTAAATTAGGTACCTATAGTTAAATAAAAACAATCTCAATGTGTCGGGGAAAATCAATAAGTTTTCAAAAC